ACAAAAAAAAAAAAAAAAGAACACATAATCCAGAAACACACCTGCACACCAACAGCCAATTAAGGTGCGGAAAAGGTATGAAGATGATTCAATGGAAAAAGGATATACTTTTCAAAACATGGCTCTGGAACACAGGCACACCTTGGAGATATCACCAGTTCAGTTCCAGACCACCCCAACAAACCAAAGATAGCATCGAAGTGTGTCACACACACTTTTTTCATTTCCCAGTTCATATAAAAGTTATGTTGACAGCGGGTGTAGTGGTTCACGCCTGTAATCCCAGCACTTTGGGAGGCCGAGGCGAGAGGATTGCCTGAGCACACGGGTTTGAGACCAGCCTGGGTAATTTGGTAAGACCTCGTCTCTACAATAAATCAAAAAATCAGCTGGGCATGGTGGTGCATGCATGCCTGTGGTTCCAGCTACTTGGAAGGCTGAGGCGGAAGGATCACCTGAGCCCAGCAGGTCGAGGCTGCAATGGCCGTGAGCATGCCCCTGCACTCCAGCCTAGGCGACAGTGAGACTCCAACTCAAAAAAGAGTTATGTCTACACTATACTGTAGTCTATGAAGTGTACAATGTCTAAAAAAGTGTATATACCGTAATTTAAAGATGCTTTATTGCTAAAAAAAAAATGCTAATAAGCATTTGCGCCTTTAGTGAGCTATAATCTTCTTGATGGTGGAGAGTCTTGCCTGGTCAGGGTGGTGCTTGAGAAAGATGGGGGTGACTGTGGCAACTTCTTAAAATAAGACAACAAGCCGGGCTCAGTGGCTCAGCCCATAATCCTGCGCCTTTGGGAGGCTGAGGTGAGTGGATTGCCTGAGCCTGCGGGTTTGAGACCCGCCTGGGCAACTTGGCGAGACCTCATCTCTACAATAAATCAAAAAATTAGCCAGGCATGGTAGCGCGCACCTGTAGTTCCAGCTACGTGGAAGGTTGAGGCAGAAGGATCGCCGGAGCCCAGCAGGTCGAGGCTGCGGGGGCCAGGAGCGGCCACTGCACTCCAGTCTGGGCAACAGAGTGAGACTCCAACTCAAAAAAAATAATATATATATATGACAACAAGAAGTTTGTCACATTCTTTCATGAAAGATTTCTCTGTTGTATGTGTCTGACAGCATTTTACCCACAGCAGAACTTCTTTCTAGTTGAGTCAATCCTCTCAAACCCTGATGCTGCTTTATCAACTATGTTCATGTAATATTCGAAAGCCTTTGTTGTCATTTCAACAATGTTCACAGGCGAAGACTAGAAGTAGATTCCATCTCTCTTTGCCCATCCGTAAGAAGCAACTCGTCTGCTCAAGTTTCATTATGAGATGCAGCAACAATTCAGCCCCATCTCCAGGCTCCACTTCTCATTCTAGTTGCCTTCCTCTTTCCCTTCATCTGCAATAAATTCCTCCCCTGAAGTCTTACGTCCCTCAAAGTCATATAAGAAGGCTGGAATCGACTTCCAAAGGTGTATGTTGATATTCTGACCTTCCCCCATGAATCAAATGTTCTTAATGGCATCTAGAACAGTAGATTCTGCCCAGGTTTTCAGTGTACTTTGCCAAGATCCATCAGAGGAATTAATATCTGTAGCAGCTGAAGCCTTACAAAATGTATTTCTTACATGAAAGTTGGCTGGGCTTGGTTGCTCAGCCTGTAATCCCAGCACTTTGGGAGGCCGAGGCAAGTGGATTGCCTGAGCCTGTGGGTTTGAGACCAGCCCGGGCAACTTGGCGAGACCTTGTCTCTACAATAAATCAAAAATTAGCAGGACACAGTAGCACGTGCCTGTAGTGCTGGCTACTTGGAAGGCTGAGGCGGAAGGATCGCCAGAGCCCAGCAGGTCGACCCTGGGGTGGCCGTGAGTGTGCCACTGCATTCCAGCCTGGGTGACGTAGTGGTACTCACACACACACACACACACACACACTGGGTGATGTAGTGGTACACACACACACACACACACACGAAAGTTGAAATTCTCCATGATCCAGACACACACACACACACGAAAGTTGAAATTCTCCATGATCCAGAGCTGCACAATGGATACTGTGCTAACAGGCATGGGACACTTGTCTCTCACAGCTCCATCAGAGCTCGTGGGTAACCAGGTGCACTGCCAGTGGACAGTCATCTTTTGAAAGCAACCTTTTTCTGAGCTGTAGGACCCAACATAACTGGGCTTAACTGTCATCCAAGCTTTGTTCTTCCTTGTATGGGGCACAGGCGGAATAGATGCAGCACAATTCTTAAGAGGCCCAGGATGTTTGAAATGGTAAATGAGCACTGACTTCAGCTCCTGACTGCATTAGCTCCTAACCAGAGAGTTGGCCTGTCCTTTGAAGCCAGGAGTAAGCGTCGTCTTCCAGAAGACTGTTGCATATTCACTGAAAATCTGTCCTTTAGAGTGTCCACCTCTATCAGTGATGTCAGCTGGATCTTCTGGAGAACTCACTGCCTTACCTTGCATGTGTATGCTATAGGGATGGCTTCTTTCCTTCAAACTCATGAGCCCACCTCTGCCAGCTCCAGCTTTCCTTCTGCTGCTTCCTCACCTCTCTCGGCCTTCTTGGAATTGAAGGGAGTCAGGGCCTTGATCTGGATTAGGCTTTGGCTTAAGGGAATGTCATGGCTGGTTTGATCTATCCAGACCACTCACACTTTCTCCATATCAGCATTCATGTGTTCACTTTTAATTTCCTTCAAGATCTTTTCCTCTGCATGCACAACTTGGCTGTTTGGCACAAGAGGCCTAGCTTTTGGCCTATCCTGATATGCTTTCCTCACTAAGCTTAATTCTTTCTAGCTTTTGATTTTTGGTGTGAGGTGTACAACTCTTCCTTTCACTCGAACACACGGAGGCCTGTCGGGTTATTGACTGATTTAACGTTAATATTGTTGTGCCCAAGGAAAGGGAGAAAGACGGGGAGTGGTTGGTCAGTGGAGCAGTCAGAATACACACACACTTATCGATTAAGTTCACCGCCTTATATAGGCATAGATCATGGTGTCCTTAAACAATTACAAGATATAATATATGAAAAGTTTGCAAGAATTACCAAAATGTGACAGAGATATGAAGTGAGCATATGCTGTTGGAAAGTGGTGCCAATACATTTCAACACAGGGCTGCCACGAACCTTCAGTTTGCAAACACATGATCTGAGAAGTACAGTGAAATGAGGTCTGCCTACATTTACAGCTCCTAATGCAGAAATAGGAACCTCAGTCTATAACATGCACATTGCACAAAAATTAACTCAAAATGGATCATGTACTAAAAGTTAAACCTAAAACTATAACTCTTGCAGGAAAAAAGTAAGAAAATCTGTGTCCTCAGTTAAAGCAAAGATTCCTTACATAGATACACCAAAAGCACCAGTCATTAAAAATGATCAGTAAATTAGGTCAAAGTTAAAATCTGCTCATTGAAAAATGCTGTTAAGAGAATTTTTTTTTTTGAGTCGGTCTCACTGTTGCCCAGGCTGGAGTGCAGGGGCATGCTCACAGCTACCGCAGCCTCGATCTGCTGGGGTCAGGCGATCCTTCCGCCTCAGCCTTCCAAGTAGCTGGAACCCCGGGTGCACGCTACCAAGACTGGCTAATTTTTTTTTATTCATTGTAGAGATAAGGTCTCGCCAAATTGACCAGGCTAGTTTCAAGCCCATGGGTTCAGGCAATCATCTCACCTTGGCCTCCCAAAGTGCTGGGATTATTATAGGCATGAGCCACTGTGCCCAGCCTGTTGAGAAAATTTAAAAGGCAAGCCAAAGTTTGGGAAGAAAACTTAAAAATCACATATCTGATAAAAGACTGTAGCCTGAAGACATAAAGAGTTTTCAAAATATAGAAATATATAAATAGGCCAGGCTCAGTGGCTCAGCCCATAATCCTAGCATTTTGGGAGGCTGAGGAGAGTGGATTATCTGAGCCCAAGGGTTCGAGACCAGCCTGGGCAACTTTGCGAGATCTTGTCTCTACAATAAATTGAAAAAATCAGCCAGGTGTGGTAGCACACGCCTATAGTTCCGGCTACTTGGAAGGCTGAGATGGAAGGATTGCTGGAGCCCAGATTGATGCTGGGGTGGCCGTGAGTGTGCCACTACACTCCACCCTGGGCGATGAGTGAGACTCCAACTCAAAACAAAAAGAAAGAAAGAAAAAAAAATATATAATTCTCGACAATAAGACAACGCATTTTATTTATTTATTTTTTGGGTTGGAGTCACTCCATCGCCCAGGCTGGAGGGCAGTGGCACTCTCACGGCCACCCCAGTGTCAACCTGCTGGGCTCAGGTCGTCCTTCCACCTCAGCCTTCCAAGTAGCTGGAACTACAGGCACATGCTACCATGCCCGGCTAATTTTTTGATTTATTATAGAGATGAGGTCTCGCCAAGTTGCCCAGACTGTTCTCGAACCTATAGGCTCAGGCAATCCCCTCCCCTTGGCCTTTCACAGTGCTGGGATTACAGGTAAGACAACGCATTTTAAAATAGCGGATAAGGCTGGGCACAGTGGCTCACGCCTATAATCCCAGTGCTTTGGGAGGCGAGGTGAGAGGATTGCCTGAGTCCACAGCTCTACAAAAAATAAATAAAAAATTAGCCAGGTGTGGTGGTACATGCCTATAGTTCCAGCTACTTGGAAAACTGAGGTGGAAGGATCACCTGAGCCCAGTAGGTCAAGGCTGTGGTAAGCGTGCCACTGCGGTCCAGTCTAGGTGATAGAATGAGATTCCAACCCCCAAAATAATAAAATAAAATAAAAGGCAGAAGATTTGAACATTTCATCAAAGAAGATGCACGGATGGCAGGCAAGCCACTAAAAAATGCTCCACATCATTAGTCATTAGTGAAATGTAAATCAAACACACAATGAGACACTACTACACACCTATTTGAGTAGCTGAAATTCTAAAAACTAACAATACCAAGTTCTGGTGAGGATGTGAAGCAGCTAGAACTCTTGTCAGATGCTGCCGACGAGACTGTGAGACAGTGCAGCCACTCAGAAAAGTTTAGCTGTTTCTTACAAAGTTAAACATACACTTAAAAAAACGATCTAGCAATTCCCCACATGGGTTTTTACCTAAGAGAAATAAGTTTATGTCCAAAGCCTACAGAATGTCTGCAGCAGCTCTGCTATTAATCACCAGAAAACAAAAACAACCAGTGAACAGAAAGCAACTATGGACACTACTCAGCAGCAGAGAGAAGGAAGTTCTGAGACAGGCCGCGGCGTGGCTGAGTCTCAAGTGTGTTCTGATAAGGAGCCCGATCCCGAAGGCTACACACACAGAAAGACCCCACTTATGTGACATTCTGGAAGAGAGGAAAATGCAGAGGCCACTTCTAAGAGCAGCACTTTGGCAGGCTGAGACAGGAGGACAGCTTGCAGCCAGAAGTTTGAGACTAACCTGGGCAACATAGTGAGGTCCTGTCTCTATAAAAAAATTGAAACATTAAAAAAAAATTAAACATTAGCCAGGTGAGGTGACGCATGCCTATAGTGCTTAGGAGGCTGAGGCAGGAGAATCGCTTGAGCCCAAGAGTGTGAGGCTGCAATGAGTTACGGTGGCACTACTGCACTCCAGCCTGGGTAACAGAGAAAGACCCTGTCTCTAAAAAATAAAAAAGAAACACTCAGGGTTGGAGGTCAGATCAGTGGCTCTCAGGGGATAGGGGAAGGGAAGAGGGAACACAGGGGTTGATGAATATTCTAGCTCTCAACTGTGGAAGTGACCACATGCCTTGGCAAAACATAAATGCATACTAAAAAGGGTAAATTTAACTGTATGTAAATTATACCTTAATAAAATACACTTAAAACCTTTTAAAGTCAACAGTGAAATTAAAGTGGCAAACTAAAAACATTTCTTTATACAAACAGTCCATTGATTGCAAGCATGATCTCACAGCGTGTGCAATTAGCTTGCTGGGAGGTGAAGTCACGAGATGGACACAGTGCTCTGTGAAGGCTGACACCACCCAGTCGTTATCTGGTAACATCATCCGCTTGCTGGCCCTGGCCGCCTTTCCCAGAGAGGTATCAGCATCCAAGCAAGCTCTCACCTTTTAAGTTCTGTGTCCTCATCCGGCCCACTGGTCTCCTGTGACCCTCGGGCAGCCTCCGTCCACCTGGCCTGTGTCCCATGTGCTTTCACCAACACACCAAGCTTACCCACCCCAGGGCCTCTCCCAGATGCTCTTCTCCCCAGAGGCTATGTCCTCACGGCACCTGCATCTGAACTGACCTGTCCCTTTGCTGGCCAGTGTCTGCCCCACAGTCCCCATGCGGGCAGAGCCTTGCCAGTCTTGCTTACACCCAAACCCAAATGCCTCAGCTGCATGTGACAGGGATGCAGTAGGTGCTGGTGGAACGAACAAGTGACTTACACCAGCCCCTCCCCTTGCACACATGTATACCTTCACCTTACAATGCACCTGCTGGCTCTCCCTTGTACATGTGGATCTCACAATGCACCTACTGGCTCTCCCTTGTACACGTCAGTGCTCTTATCTTGCACATGCACGCCAGCACCTTCCTCCTGTGCACACTTAACTTTCTCATCTGGCACACATGCTGGCACCCTCACCTTGCACACGTATTTGATGAACTCCAGAACAGGGTTGTTGAGCAGTAAGTGAGAGCCAGGGAGGAGAGGAAACATATCCGAGAGCTCGGTGGAATTCCGAGAGCCTGTGACTTTCTTCTGGATCTTCTGGGTGATGGTGAAGAAGCTCTGAGTGAGCTCGTTGGCCACATAGTCTTGAGAGAAGGTGATCATCCCTGGGGAGCAACAACGATGCTGAGGGAAGGTTTTGGGGTCCGCTCTGGCACTGGGGACCTCCCACCCATCAGCACGGACCAGGCGAGGTACACAGAGGGGTCAGGTCACCAATGGCTCACCAGGAAGGGCTCCAGTTGCCCCCTCGGTCTCCTGGGAGAACTGGCTGGGCCCCCTCCTCCTCACAGGGGTGCTCCCTGGGGCGCTGCGCCTCAGCCCGTCCTTCATGCTGTGGTACACGGCCACAATGTATGCTGTAGAGAGACAGGCACATGCCACAGGCCCTGAGAGCTGAGGACACTGGGAAATGCCCCAGAGTCTAAAGGTACCCCTATGGTTTGTCAGATCACCAGACAGACTCAGCTGAAAAGTCACTGCTAGAGATTTTCTTTGCTGCTTTAGATGAGCCAAAGGTGAACTAGAGAAGTGGAAATGGGAAGGGACACTTGCTGATACCCAAGCTCACACTCAGAGTTCTAGAAAGGTCTATAAATAAGGCAATGCATATTAACCGTCTGGGCAGTGAGCAAAAAACACCTCCCAACACAAGCAAAAGCTGGACCCTGGTGTCAGCAAATTTCTCAAAAAACGTCCTCTGGGCTCATAAACCTGGAGCTTTTCTAAGGAGAAGTAGACAAAACTATAAAATAATCACTGAGAACACCACCTCTATCACTACGTGTGTGTGTGTGTGTGTGTGTGTGTGTGTGTGTGTGTGTCTATCTGCTGCAGTTTAATTACAACGTTCATCGTGACTTGCTGTTTTAGCGCACGACTCTGAATTACTAAGGTATTTGACTTATAGCGTATCAGCCTAGGTACCTGACCTGCAAACACTAAACCCTCAGATCCAAACCAAGATAGAGACGTTTCCTAAACCAGAAAGTTCCAGGGGTTCCTCTTACGTTGTTGTGTGTGCAACATGCACAAATGTCCCCAGGAAATGGGGGTGACCCAGTTATCAAAATATATCTCAGGAGCAGAACCAGGAAGCCCTTCAGAGACACAGCCAGGGCAGCTGCTCCCCAAGGGCTTTCCTGACAGGGAAGTCAGCAATCCCTGTCTGTCCTTCCTTTGGGGGAGGATGTGCCTGCCACTGCAGCCTCCAGGGTCACAGGGCCACCTCGCCAACTCTTGCCTGCTGAGCCTGCTCCACCTGACCGGACATTCCAACTTCTCCCTTTTTGTGACGCCATCGTGCCAGAGCCACGCTGCTGAACCACCAGTCGGCCCTGACGTAGGGCTGCCCACCTGAGCTCCAGGCTCACCCGAGACAATCATGAGGAAGTAGCTTTGGCAGGAGGCCGCCTGCGGCAAAAACTGCAGAATGTTCCAGTTGTTCTCTAGCAAGTCCTCCACGTCGGATTCCTCCATGCCCTCCTCCTCCTTCTCACCGTCCGCATCTTCCGGCTCATCCTCTGTCCCCTCCGCTTTCTGGGAGTCCTGCTGCAACATGACATCAGCGTGTGTTCCCGGGCAGACCGCATGAGGGAGGAGCCCCTGAGCGAAGGCTCTCCTGCTGGGCCTGAGCAACCCACTGATTCGTGGGCCAAGTACACCCCTGGGCTACGCCCAGCACAGGGGCTCTGCAGACCATACCTGGTGCACAGAACCGCCAGTATGGGGGACTCTGGTCCTCGCCCTGCTCTTTCCAGAGGATTCACTTTAAAATGACTCAATTCCCACCTCCCCGGAAGGGAAGAATTCACTAGAGTGTCCTGGGGACCAGTTCTCTACCTTGATTCAAGGGTCTCCTGGGAAGGCTACTTGTCAGACCCAGCTTTATGCAGACACTCCTCCCGCAGGCTGCTGTATTCCTGACACAATGCCGTTCATGTAGACAATGACGCCTGCTGTGTCCACCCTGACTGTGCTGGTACCATCCTCAGAGCTGTCTATACCGCCTGCGCTCTCCTCAGAGCTGTCTACACTGCCTGCCCTGACTGCCTGCACCCACCTGAGAGCTGTCTACACTGCCTGGCCTGCCTGCACCCACCTCAGAGCTATCTATACCTCCTGCCCTGACCACCTGCCCTCTCCTTAGAGCTGTCTACACTGCCTGCCCTGACCACCTGCCTTCTCCTCAGAGCTGTCTATATCGCCCGCCCTGTCTGTACCTCCTCAGAGCTATCTACCTTGCCTGCCCTCTCCTCGGAGCTGCCTACACGACCTGCCCTGTCCTCAGAGCTGTCTATACTGCCTGCCCTGACTGCCCAAACCCTCTTCAGAGATGTCGACAACTGCCTACTCTGACCGCCTACCCTGACCCCCTGCACCCTCCCCAGAGCTGTCTATACCACCTGCACTTCTTCCTCCCACTTTCTTCCGAGATCCCTCGATTGGGCTTTGTCCCCCAACTCCAACCAGAATCACTCCTGTCCTGGTGTCCAGGGCAGCATCAGCCCCATCCCACTGACTCTCAGCAGCGTCCGCCTTCTTCCTGAAAGGCTTTCCTGATGACGCCCCAGGCCCTGGCTCCGGCATCCCCCACCCGCTGTGGCGTCCTCTCGATCCTCTGTGAGGAACCTGTGGAGGATGCAGGTCTCTGTTCTCTCGACCTACCCAGCAGCTCCTGTCCCAGCTGTCCACCTGTGTCCTGACCTCACAAATGCTCTGCATCCTAGCCAGATGCGGCCTCCCTCCACCCAAGCTGCTCCCGAGAGTGCTCACAGCTGGGCATCCCCCACATCCAACCTGCAGCCTCTTAGCTCCGCTTCAAACCCTGCCCAGGTGCCCCTCACTGACCCAGCCACACAGCCCTTCCCCTGTGTGGACACCAACGGGCTCTACTGCCATTGCCCTCTGATGGTGCCTCATGCACACAGGGCCAAGCCAGGTCCCTACATTGCCAGCTCAGAACCTCCTATCTACACTGAGGCCAAGTACCTGCCCTGCCACGCCCAAGTGGCCTGGCCCTGTCAGCTCAGCCCCCATCTGTGACCATCACCCCACCCACCCATGCCCAGCCTTCCTATCCACCTCATGGCCTCCACCTCCTGAGCGACAACAGCCTCTGGCCCCTGCGGCAAATGTTGCCCTTCCCAGGGCCAGCACTGCCTTCCACATTTGATCATGTTTGCTCACGGTCTTTCCCTCCACGAGTCAACCACAGCAGGATGAAGCTGGTGTTTGCTGCTGCCCAGTGTGGCCCATGCCAGGCCTGGCCCGTGGCCCGCAGGCTCAGTAGTTGCCGCAGGAGAAATGTGGACCCCAAAGCCACTTCAGATCCCCTGCAGCTCTCTCACCTGTCCATAGTGAACACTAGACGGAACTTTTCCTTTGATTCCACCATAGTTAGAAGGATCCATCCAGAGAAGAAATTCCCAGCATCGAGAGAAGGAAATTGTCAAGGAGTGGAAGAGCTCCTTGGAATGGATACTGCAGGAGAAACATTTGAAAAGCGGTTGAAATGAAGCTGGGAGTCCTTGTTTTCTCCTTTGTACTTATCGACTTACCTCCCACTTACCTAAGAATGAATTTAAAAGTTCATTCAGATTACATCATCCCCCAAACTTCCTAGGAAAAGGTGGCAAACACAGTACTAAGGAGATTGGCAGACCGAACCAGCTGCAGCCCTGGAGCCGGGGGCCACAAGAGAAGGCCTGGACATGCTCTCATGCTCCGGGCAAGCCCGCAGGGGGGACGGCCTCTGTTTCACGGCCTCAGACATCTGCAGTGACAGGCAGCTAACCATTTGCTCCCCACCATCTAAGTGGTATGCCTTCTGACCACCTTGGTCAAGCTGGCCTCCTTCCTACAACTGGCCCAATCATCTGCACATCAGGTCATTTAGCCAAAACAAAAGAAGAAAAAAACAAAGAGAAAAGGGAGAAAAGGAGGAAGGGAGTCCTAAGGAACGATTTTCAGAATGCCGCTAAAGGACTCAGAGCATGACTTCTCTGGACTTCACATTCTCCCTAACTCTGCTCTTAGCTCAAAGGGGAGGAGAGTGGCCTGTTTCTCAACATGACCCAAGCCAGCCACCTCTGGCGCAGGACCCTCCGGGAGTTGCCACAGCCCACACAGACGAGAGGCACACCTTTCCTTTCATGACTCAGTCACATTGTCTAAAACATGATTCCCCAGGCCTGTTGGGTACTCAGCGTGACCAATGACAGGTCAGAAGCTCCTCTTGGAATCCAAGGATAATACTAGGAAGACAAAGGCACACACAGGTCTGCAGGACAACAACGGTCTTGTGCTTCAAATTACTCCGGTGCAGTTTTTGGTTTTTTTTTTTTGAGTTGGGTCTCACTCTGTCCCTCAGGCTGGAGTACAGTGGCATGATCGTGGCTCACGGCAGCCTCAAACTGCTGGGCTCAGGTTATTCTTCTACCTCAGCCTCCCGAGTCACTGGGACTACATACAGATGTGTACCAACATGCCTGGCCAATTTTTTACTTTTTTTTTTGTAGAGACGAGGTCTTGCTATGCTGCCCAGGTTGGTCTCAAACTCCTAGGTTCAACCAACCTCCCACCTCAGCCTCCCAAAGTGCTGGGATTACACGTGACCCACTTCGCCAGGCCTCCAGTGCCTATGTTTTGATAGCAATAAAAACCCCCTAAGCTCTACCTCCTACAATTCAGTAATAAGACTTATCATCAACTTAGTGCTTGCCCTTTCTGGGGTGCCCCTGGTGCTGCTCTTATAATCATACGAGGAGCAGATCTACTGGGATTTTCTGTGCCTGTTAGCAATTCCTCTCTCTGTGCCTGGACAAGTGCTTCACTCACATCCAGGGAGTTCACCCTGGAGTGGGGGCTTCCCAGTATCAACAGAACAAAGGGAGACAGTCTTGGAAACCTTACTGTTGCTCTGTCTTCTACTCACATTTCAGAGTACTGAATATATGATGAGCATGGCTAGGCCAAGGAAGGAGCCTCGGGGAACACAGCCTGGAGGCAAATGGTCACTACCTGGAAGTCTAACTACCACACCTGCCCGACAGCTGAAAGCTCTGCTCCCAGTCGCCAACACTGATGTTCAGGAAAGGTTTACACCTTTATGTGGTGCATATACTCAGGGCAGCAACTTGAATGTGCGTCTCACAGGAAAATAAGAAAACAAACAAACACCACTTTACGGACCTGTCTTACCAGAGGCAAGCACTCCCTGAACTTCCTAAACTCTAGCAGCAAGTCCGCACACCTGAGCATGGCCTACACTTTGCTGCAACACTTGAAAGGCAGTCATCACCCTTTCTGTGTGTTGTGGCTTCACCCTTGGTGTGTGCCGTGCTAAGGACTTTCCAGTCCAGCCAAGGGAACCACTGGCATTTCAGGGGGTCCTTTGAGCACCCCTCCCAGAACCATAGTGGGTGGTGTTATCAGGCCGCACCAGCCCTACCTGTTGGTGATGTATTCCACATAGGCAATGGCGTCTTCAATCCGGCGCTTCTTCGTACAGAGGATGATGCGGTTAAAGTTGGCATAGATGACGGACGACCCCAGGCGTTTGAACTCAGCAATGAGCCTGCAGAGCAAGTTCAGATCAACAGTGGAGATGCCATGGTGTGCAACAAAGCACAGGGTGCAGGAAAACCGTGGGAGAACGACTATGGTCCCCAAGTGGAAAAGCCTCCCGAATACACTGAGAACCCAGAAGTAGTGAGGACAGCTGGGGGAAACAGAAAAATGGCTACTTCTTAGAGAGAACTCATTCAGTGTTTAATTAAAAAACCCAACAAACTACAGAAAAATGGACAAAGAACATGAAAAGAAAGTTCAGCATCATTCATGTTAAGAATCACAAAGTAGCCAGGTGCAGTAGCTCAAACCTGTGATCCCAGCAGTTTGGGAGGTGGAGGAGAGAGGATTGCCTGACCTCAGGCATTCGAGTCCAGCCTGAACAACGTGGTGAGACCTTGTCTCGACAATAAGTCAAAAAATTAGCCAAGTGTGGTGGCAAATGCCTGTAGTTCCAACTACTTGGAAGGCTAAGGAAGAAGGATCGCCTAAACCCAGCAGGTCAAGGCTGCGGTGGCCATGAGTGTGCCACTGCACTTCAGCCTGGGCAGGAGTGAGACTCGGACTTGGAAAAAAAAAGAATTACAAAGTAAGACAGCAGTGAGAAGTATTTGCACCCATCAGGATGGCAGTGCTGCCAAGCCATGTTGGTGAGGCGGGGGTGGGGACCAGCAGCTGCAATCAGCTCTGTGGGGGCACTCTGGCAACATCCCACCCTGACATGTACCCAGGTAAAGGACCTGTCAGGTCTGTACCAGTTCCACTTCCCAGGAACCATCCTAAGATGGATTTGCATGACCTCATGCACAAAGTCCTTCGCTGATCAGCTATTTTTAAGAGCAGGAGGCTAGAAAGAACCTGAATATCCATTAGTATGGCCCAACCATACACAGATCTCCAAGGTATACTATGAACCAAAACAAGCAAGGTGCAGAATAGATTCGGCAGAGCACAACTGGTGCAAACAAGGGGCAGAAGACATCGTGCCAACCAACATCCTCAGGAAGGATGTGCACGGCACACCACGGCAGCAGCTGGCTTTTCCTGGGGTCCTCTCACTGGTTACATGTCATGAACCCAGAAAGAGACCACTGGTCCCAGAGTGCCAGCTGGTGGCTGATCCTCTAGTTCCTGGAGCTAAGGGATCAGTGAGGCTGAGAAAGCGCCACCTGCAGCCCTGGGCCGGGGGGTGCACTCACTGCAGGAAGAGCTTCTTCATCATGTTATGCAGTGTCCGGTGCAGGGCGGGGTCGTGGAGCAGAGAGCATGGCGACCGCAGCCAGCGGTAGAAGTGCATCACCTGGTTGTCAGCATAGATGTTGTGGTACTGTGTGATCTCTTTCACCCAGCCCACGACCATGCTCTTCAGAATCCTGAAAGAGACACAAACGAGGCCATCCCCACTGCCCGCCAGCCCCACCTGCCCTCCTCACCACCTCACATGCAGGCACCGTCCGATATCTTCCCTTCACCTTGCACCTCATCCGTGTCTTCCCATCTCACGCCTCAAACCAGCTCAGGCCTCAGCACCGTCCTTAGCAAACCCAAACTCCCACTGCTTGCTCTGAGCCAGGACAGGCAGATGGGCAAGATAGGCCCCTGTCCTCCAGGAGAAGCTCAGTACAAGGCAGTGAGTGTGCAGTGCATGGGGGCATCTGCAACCTGGCACTAGAAGGGGAACACCACACCCCAGCGGCCCAGGTTGGGGACCAGGGGTAAGAACTCAGAGGTAGGCCAGGCTCAGTGGCTCGGCCTGTAATCCCAGCACTTTGGGAGGCTGAGGCAAGTGGACTGCCTGATCCCGCAGGTTTGAGACCAGCCCAGGCAACTTGGCAAGACCTCATCTCTGCAATAAATTAAAAAAAAAATTAGCCGGCGAGGTAGCACGCGCCTGTAGTTCCGGCTATTTGGAAGGCTGAGGCAGGATTGCCAAAGCCCAGAAGGTTGACACGGGGGGGGGGGGGGTCTGAGTGTGCCACTGTACTCCAGCTTGCCTGACAGAGCAAGACCTCAACTCTCAAAAAAAAAAAAAAAACAAAAAAACAAAAAAAACCTCAGAGGCATCTCTTCCACCCAGCAAACTGGGCTCTCCGCTTTCTCACCACTTCCTCCAAGTGGACCACTTAGGCATCTGCCCGTGAGCTTCAAGTGACCCACACCCTGCTCCCTTGTATACACTGCTCCTTGCCTCTCTGTTCCTCTCTCCTGACCTATTTGACAAATCCTTGAACTTGTTTTCTATTGTGGTGGATTGTGCCTTCCATCTGCAAAAGGAAGGACTGCCCTGGGCTGGGTACTCCCTGGATGCTGAGGGAACCCCAAGGCTGGGCGCCAGCACCAGAGTAATGGTCGGGCAGGCATAAACTGGACATGGGTCATACAAGAGTCACATGGGTGTCTGCCACTGTAAACAAGTTTCTCGTGTGAGAGACTCCTGGTCGTGAGTCAGAAGACTAGGCATTAGACCATCCTTCAGGTAAAAGTACCTGGTGAAAGGGACACTGTGCACAGCATGTCCAGCCCCTTCACTTCCAGGGAAGGCAGGGCTGCCTGCTGCTCTGGTACTGGAACCCCAATTTAGCTACTGGCTCTCAAAGAAGAACCTCACCCTGCTGAAGAATTAGGCACAACATCATGGGGTCAGCAAAAGACCGTTACAACCGGACCCACAGAGGCCAGAGTCACATTCTCAAAACTGTTATCACACTTCCCCTGGTTAAATCACCTTGGCCAACTCAGCAGCACAGCGACACCCACTTTCCTCAGCAATTCCTGGTGGTTTGACTCCATCTACCCTTCAGGACTGGACTATCTACTTTTCTGCTAAAAACTGTCATCACACTTCACCTGGTTATATCACCTTGGCCAACTCAACAGCCTGGCGACACCCACATTCCTCAGCGATTCCTGCCATTGGCAGTCTGACTCCATCTACCCTTCGGGACTGGACTACCTACTTTTCTGCTAAGATCCTGCTCCTGGCCACTGACCACCTCCTGGCCTCTCTTTCAACCAGTCTCCCCCGCCCCGCCCTGCTCAATTTCCCCAGCTCTGACAAATTCCCTCTCCTCCTTCTGGGTGAAGGCAACAGCAATGGCTGAGGAACATATTCTGGAATTACACAGACTTGTTACTGAGTACCGACCCTTCTGCTCAATTGCACTATGACCACAACCACGTGGGCCCCTCTGACCCCAGTTTCTTCATCTGTAAAATGGGTAATAACTGCTCTGCCTCTCGGGGCTGCTATGGGGACTGAGGCAGAATGGAAGCATGCTCGGCCTGTTTCCTGGTACCCAGGAGGTGTCCCATAGCATGAACTACCATGGACAAGCAGCGTGTGTGGCTGCCCCTGGCCGCCCTGTGCAGATCTCTCTGACGTCTAAACACTGGCAGCTTGCACAACTCACTCATGGAGCTGGAAATTCCTATTGACACACTCGGGTCACATCAAAAGCAGCCCTAGTTAGAAAGGCTTTCATGTGAAGTGCTAATGACCACAGGGAGGGTCCCCCTGATGACCAGACAAGGCACATCCATAGGCTGTAAAGACAACTGAAGACGAGAAGCCTTGTGGCATGGCAGTCTCTGGCTCTGCAGATGGGCTAGGAAAGCTCGAGGAGCACAGTCTCAGAACTCAGCTTTCCAAACGAGGGCAGAGGTTAAAATCTCTCTACTGCTCCCTCCAGGAGAGGGCAGTACCTGAAAGTGTTAGAGCAGAGGGCCATCTCGTCGTAGCTGGCCAGGGCATTGGTGGCCTGGCTGCCCGTGATCATGTCCTCCAGGGACGCCTGCTGAATCACGTCGAAGCTGATGCCCATGCTGTCGGCCCCCTCCATGTCGTTGATGTGGTGAGACTGCAGAATGGTGTTGACAGCCAGGTTCTGAAGGTCCAGCTCCACACACACTGCATGGAAAGACACGCATTAGGCCAGCACCCTGCCGCTCCAGCCTACCCGCCCCAGGTCCAACTCTAGCCAAGTCCGTCGGTAGGATCAGCACCAGACCTGCCTGCACCCATCCCCACACCTGCCAGGGCACACGGCTTTCCCGGGCCCTCGAGGCCCAGAGGGCTGCCAGTCATGGAATCCAGGAAGTACCCCGGCAGCTTCAGCTTCTGGTCTGCGAGGTTGGGCTCTGAGCCTATCACTGGGTGCTATCACCTAAACAGGATGTCACAAGCAGGAAGAAGCACCAGCCCAGGGTCTGTGGGCCTCGTCCTCCTGTCCTTTACCTGTGGAGTAGCAGCCTGAGTTGTTGATCTCCACGGTGGCTTGGTCATCGAACTCCATGACGAGGCGGTTGTCATCGGCCTCCTTTCCACCCAGGTCAGGGCGGGCTGTAGGGGACAGCCAGAGCAGATGGTTGTGGCGCTGGAGGTGGCGGGCAAAGAAGAGGTCGGAGCCAAAGGTGGAGATGTCCTCGGGCAGGTTCCCGATGGGAATGTGAAAGTACCTGTACGAGGGCATGGTCAGTCCTAGGGACATCGACATGTGGAAGCCGTGAGGCCTGTCCTGCCAGGAACAGCTCACCTAGGATGCCAGGCACAGCCCGGGCTTCCCAGAGTCCCAGCTGCCTCTTCTGTGCTTACCTGCTCATCTCAAAGGCCTGCGTCAGGCAGGTGTCCAGGTTGAGGTAGTGCCGGATCATGCGCCGGGCTCCATGGCGCTGCCAGTCCAGGACTCCATAGCTGATTTTGTCAGCCACACGGACAGGCACCAGCGGGAACTCCTCCAGGACAGGAATCTCGCTGGCCAGCCTCCTCAGCTCCCAGCTGGACTGAACAGCGATGAGCGTGGGCCCCCGGCGCTCCTCCTGGGTCAGGGCAGAAGGGAAGACAGGACCTGGGTGGACCCAGCCTCGGGGAAAGGGGCTCACGGGGCAGGACCCTAGCCCCCTCACCTTGTAGGCGAGCAGGAAACGCTGGATGGCTCTGCAGATGGTCTTCAGGTCAGTTTCCGCACGAACTTCAAAGGTGTGTTTGGGAGGTGGCAGGAGCTCAGGGCCCACCTTCTCCAGCATGAGGCCATGCTCCGCCGAGTACAGGCTGCTGAGGCTGGGCATCTGGTTGCTACGCACCTGGACAGATGCCACACATTAGCTTGGACCTGCGCAGGGCAGCCCTGAAGGCAGACCCTGCCCCGCTGCTCCCTAACTCAGTCACAGCATGCCTTCGAGGACACGGCCAGGAGAGCCAGTGTTCTCCTACAGATTGCACCCCCAGCCTGCCCCACAGTGGGTCCAGGGACTCACGGTGTCCAACACAAACACAGACGCTCTACGCTGCGTGGGAATGAAAACCCCAAAGAGTGCCTTGTGGCCCTGTGAGTGGTGGTACAGGTAGAGGTGGCGGATGCTCCCTGTAGGAAGAAACGCTCGTCACCTGAATGCACGGAAAGCAGGGGCAGGGGCAAGGTGTGTGGCGGGCAGCAGGGCACACCGTACCTGGTTCCAGGTAGCTGAACTGGGCCAGAGAACGCATCTCCAGGTACTCAAGGGCAAAGGTTTCTGACTCCCAGCCTGAAAGGTGCCTCACCAGCTGCTTATTGACCACACACACACAGCCCAGATGTACAAGGGCCCGGAACAACAAGGGAACCTGGAAGAGGCAGGCGGTGGGGTTGAGAGGGTGCCAACAGCCGCAAACGACCCATCTCTGCACACGGTTGCGCCCCCTGCAGCTGCCTGGCTGCCTCCAGCAGATATGTGGCTCATGCCACCTCCCCACACAAGGTAGAGTCCATTATCACTGCTGCCACCTGGCCACGCCTGTGTGCTTCTTCCCACTCTCTGTCCAGCTGGAGCCTTACCTGGTTCCACTGAGTATGGTGGGGAGATAGTTACCTGTGTCTCATACACGCCCTCGATGTCTGGCGCTGCCAGCTCAGTATTAATCTCGTTGATATGTTCTTGGTACATGTCCTCTGGCACTGAATACTCATAGAGATTGTAGACTACATTGGAGCGAGGAAGGACCCGATTTACCTGGTGACAATGCAGCAGTGATCCTGTCACATGGCTTAAGTGGTAATGCCTGTTGCCCATACACATGCACACATACATACATACATGCATACACATGCGTCCTAGGACTTCAAGGACTCACAAAAATGGGATAAACCACCTCTCCTAATGGTTCCAACTACAAGCCCTGGATATAAACTTTAAAAGCAGCCTGTGGCCTTTGAGAAGTAAATAACAGCTCTCAGACTTGGGGGGTTAACACCAGCCCAGGGAGGTTCACCTTTCATTTTCCTTCGTTTTCTCCTGGGACAGAAACCACAGTTTCCTACTCAGAGGAACGGAAAAAGGGCCCCTGGGGAGCCAGAAAATGGGAGGGGGTAGGGAGGAGGATGGGGGAGGAAAGGGGTACTGGAGAGGGGCTGCCTTAATTTTGTGCATAGACAGCACAAGTCCCAGGTCATCCGAAGCTGCATTTGCACAGGCAGATCCAAGGCAGCACAGCAAAGGCTCTGGGGACTGAGCTGACATTGGAATACTGGAAGCTCTGCACAAAGAAGACAAGACAGAACTTGGGATCTAGAATTAGCTGGGTTGGATACCTGCTAAAACAGCAACAAAATCCATACCCTCTAAAGAATTTTTTAAAAACACTCAAAGTCTCGAAAAAAAAAAAAGCCGGGCTCGGTGGCTCAGCCTGTAATCCCGCGCCTTTGGGAGGCCGAGGCGAGTGGATTGCCTGAGCCCGCGGGTTCGAGACCCGCCTGGGCAGCGAGACCTCATCTCTACAATAAATCAAAAAATCAGCCGGGCATGGCAGCGCATGCCTGTAATTCCAGCTACTCAGAAGGCTGAGGCGGAAGGATCGCCCGAGCCCAGCAGGTCGAGGCTGCGGTGGCCGGGAGCGGCCACTGCACTCCAGTCTGGGCGACAGAGTGAGACTCCAACTCAAAAAAAAAAAAAAAAAAAAAAAAAAAGACACACAGAAAAAAAAGAAATTATGGGAAGTAAAATGAAAACAAATAAAAAGCAAAATTATTCAACTCTTTATAATGTTAAATATAATTTGATATCTAAACAACTTAATGGAAATACAAGAGAAATCATACATCAATTTCACTTATAGATGTGACAATTCTAAATAAAATAAATCTAACAGAAGCTATAACAGTATGTTAAAAATATAATAGGTTTATTCCAGAAATGGAATTATGCTTTGACATTGGAAAATATAAATGTAGATAGTAATAAGAATACATAAATATCACACGTGAAGAAATGTGATCATGTGTGTATCTATGACATTCTAATAGAAGATGTTTTCAACTATGAAAACTTGCTAAATCACAAAGTTTCAAATATTAATGTACTATGAGTACAAAAAACAAATAAAAGTAAAGTAAAGGAATAGAGCTAGTTAAGCCAGGTGCACTGGCTCACGCCTATAATCCCAGTACTTTGGGAGGCTAAGGTTCGAGACCAGCCTGGGCAACTTGGCAAGAACTCATCTCTATAATAAATAAAAAAAATTAGCCAGGCACGGTGGCATGCGCCTATAGTTCCAGCTACTTGGAAGGCTGAGGCAGAAAGATCACCTGAGCCCAGTAGGTCGAGGCTACAGTGGCTGTGAGCATGCCACTGCCCTCCAGTCTGGGCAACAGAGTGAGACTCCAATTCAAAAATATAAAAAAGAGTTATCACTTTCTGTTCTGTTTCTCCCACCAAATGCCCAGGGCAGCTTTGTGAAGGCCTGGTAAAGAAGAGCCCAGACAGTGGGCTGGGGACGTAAAAGCCAGCAGCAGTGAGGTTCCTGGTTCTTCCCTCTGGGTGAGTCCCAAGTAGATTATCCTAGGTGAAGGGAAGACAGACTCAAAGCCTTAATACTGCAAGACTCCATTAATGGGACATTTTGGAAGAGCAACGTTACAGGGTTGGAGGACAGATTCCAGGGATGAGGTGAAAGGGAGAAGAGATGAGAGGAAATCTGGGGGATGATGGAATCTACTGCTGTTTAAGAAAAAATTCATAGAAAAGATTAAATTTTACTGGACTTAACAAAAGAAAGCCTGGAATAATAGACATTAATTGCTGGTAGTTATTTCTTCAATAATTGGAAACAGGAAACAGGAACGAAAAGGGAGAGTTTCATCCTCCCCAACACTCCTTGACACTGTTGGTAAGGACCATGTATGCTAGCACATGTGCAGTTTTAAAAAAAGCTTTCAGAAGTCCAGGTATACCCTGACACACCTCCACAGATACAAAACAGCATAAGCACAGGGTGATTCATTAGGGCTTTAACTGCTATAAGCAGAACCAACAGGTGAACACAGTAAGCCAGGCCATGTGCACAGTGAAGTGCTATGAAACCTTGAAAGTGAACATTTCCATGGACTGACATGGGGTGATCTGCAAACAGATGATTACTTTTTTTTAAAAAAAAACAAGCTACAGAATTGCATATATAGTAAGTACACAGCTTCATATGTAAGAAAGAAAATAGATGTTGTCGGGTGTGGTGGCTCAAGCCCGTCACCCCACCCACTTTGGGAGGCAGAGGTGAGAGGACTGCCAGAGCCCAGGGGTTCGAGATCAGTCTGGACAACTTGGCAAGACCTTGTCTCTACAATAAATCAAAAAAATTAGTTGGGTGTGGTGGCACACACCTGTGGTTCCAGCTTCTTGGAAAGCTGAGGTGGAAAGATCACCTGAGCCCAGCAGGTTGTGGCTGCAGTAACTCAGCCTGGGCAACAGAAAAAAAGAAAGAAAACAGCTGTATTTGCTTATTTTTAAAGAAGCTAGACAGTTAAAACAAAAACTAATAACAATAGTTACCAACAGTTTTGGGTTAGGGGAAAATGATGAGGCATGGAGATGTCTAAGTACTCCTTATTTACTACAAAGCAGCTTACAGTTAAAAATTGTATCTAATCAAAATGAAAAAAACCAAAACGCCCCTAAATAAAAAACAAACAGAAGCAGCAAAATAAATCCAGCTATTTATTAACGTGATACCCTAACTATCCAGAGAAAGTAATTATTCCACAAGGCTTCTGAAAAGATAAGTGTCACTGTACATTCTTAGAAGGACATAAGTATTCTAAGGCCCAAAAGAACCAAAAAAACAAAAACAAAAACAAAATGTAGCAGTTTTATAGTTTCTAGTATTGGTATTGTAATTTCAAAACAATTTTATATACAGCACAGTACAGCAAATATATAAATTGTAATGATATTAAAATCTTGAGATTTTTCAGTCATAAAAAATGAAACCGATATAAAAATCAAAGAAATTGGCCGGGCTCGGTGACTCAGCCTGTAATCCTGTGCTTTAGGAGGCTGAGGTGAGTGGATTGCTTGAGCCTGCGGGTTCGAGACCCGCCTGGGAAACTTGGAGACCTCATCTCTACAATAAATCAAAAAAAATTAGGCAGGTGTGGTAGCGCATGCCTGTAGTTCCAGCTACTCGGAAGGCTGAGGTGGAAGGACTGCCGGAACCCAGCAGGTCGAGGCTGTGGTGGCCGGGAGTGGCCACCGTACTCCAGTCTCAGTGACAGAGTGAGACTCCAACTTAAAAAAAAAAAAAAATCAAAGAAATTAAGAAAAAATTATGTCATGGTAAATCTGAATTGAAGTGATTAGTGTAACTACATTACCACTTTTGTATATAGTTCTTGGCATTTCACTCCAAGAACCTAGATCAGAGGTCCCCCAACCCCTGGCGCTGGCCTGTGGCCTGTTAGGAACCCGGCCACACAACAGCAGGTGAGTGGTGGGCCAGCAAGCAAAGTTTCATCTGTATTTACAGTTGCCCCCCACCGCTCACTTACTGCCTGAGTTCCAACTCCTGTCAGATCATAGATTCTGCTGAGAACTATGCATGCAAGGGATCTAGTCTGCGCACCCTTATGAGAATCTAATGTCTGATGATCTAAGGTAGAGCTGAGGCAGTGATGCCAGTGCTGTTTCCCACCACCCCCAGATGGGAACCTCTAGTTGCAGGAAAACAAGCCCAGGGATCCCACTGATTCTGCATTATGGTTGAGATATATAATTATTTCATTATATATTACAATGTAACAATAATAGGAATAAAGTATACAATAAACATAACGCATTTGATTAATCTCGAAACCAGCCCCTCTCCTGCCCAGCTTTGTGGGAAAAAACTGTCTTCCATGAAACTGGTCCCTGATGCCAAAAAGGTTGGGGACCTCTGACCTAGATGAAACAACACCCAGGGGTAACACATACCCCTTGTACTCTAATCCCAACAACAAGCTCCTTGGAGAAGAAGCTAATTCCATGTCTTGGGAAGTATAAGGCCTGGAATGTCCTAGCAGCCAGAGAGTTAGGAAGTGTTCAAAGGCTAACAAGTCAAAAGGGCTCGGGTGACAGCTGGACAGGATCTTACAAGTCCAGTTGAGGATAATCTGAGTCTATAAAGCCTGACAACTGCCCCAAAAGTCTACTGCCTACTTCCATTAATATGAAGTTCTAAAAGGTCGAACACACCTGAAGTTACAGAAATACAGAAATGACACCAGCGGTTGGCTGCATGTGGGTGAAGAGGTGGGCAGAGCACCCCCGGGTGATGGAAATGCTCTGCATCTGGTAGGGGTGTGGGCAACAGGCATGTTCATGTGTCAAAACCAATCCATAACCGGGTGTGGTGGCTCACACCTGTAATCCCAACACTGGGAGACCAAGGTGTGAGGACTGCTTCAGTCCAGGAGTTCAAGACCAGCCCAGGCAACGACCTCGTCTCTATGAAAATACCAAAAAGTTAGCCAAGAACAGTAGTGTGCGCCTATAGTCCCAGCTACTTGGGAAACTGAGGCAAGAGGATCACTTGCCCCAGGAAGTTAAGGCTGTGATGGCTGTGATCATGCCACCACACTCCAGCCTGGGCAGCAGAGTAAGACCCCAACTCAAACACACACACACACACCCTAACCCTCTGCACATTTAGGATCTGCACTTAACTATATATAAATCAGAGTAAGTCATCACTTAATACCATCAATAGGTGAAATGAGGTATAGCAGGTCTTCAAATGTCATTTTGTTAATACAGTTTCATTATACCATTGCTAAGAAAAAAGTCAGTTTCATTATATATCGTTTTGCTTTAAGTCATTTCACTTCATGTTGCAGTTTCCGAGAACCTATCAAAGACATCAAGTGGGGACTTATTGTATACCTCAACATACTTAATGTGTGTGTGTGGGGGGGGGGAGATTTGGCTACAAGTGATGTTAAAACATTAAGCAAATACAAAATTCTCAAGTCCATAATAATACTTGAGAGAAAAAACAAAAGGGAGAGATCCTTTTGCCACTCTCTACATTGATAATTAAAAATAATTTAAGGGGAAAAGTGAGCAGGTATCTTGTTTTTTGTATTTTTTTTATTGAGTTGGAGTCTCACTGACACCCAGACTGGAGTGCAGTGGCATGCTCCCGGCCACTGTAGCCTCGACCTGCTGGGCTCTGGCGATCCTTCCGCCTCAGCCTTCTAAGTAGCTGGAAC